GCGCAGCTCGTCAGTGAACAACGGCTCTGTGTAGTTAATGCTGCTCGATGTGAAAGCACGCATGTGATGGAGATTTACCGCTGATTACAGAATGGCTTTGTTTATTGTGATTAATCAATTGGAGAAAGAATGGTGATATAAAATTGTTTTTGTCATGCTTTAAATTAAATGGAAACAATGTCACTGTCCAACTAATCTTAGTGGTCTTAAAATCTGTTTCTTTTCTTTTCTTCATATTCTTGTGGCATAATGTGCTCTTAACATGACCGGTTCGCTGAGATCGTATGCTGTAGAAGTATATTCATTGGGATTGAGTGAATCAGGATTGAGCACAGACAGGAAGAGGCGTGTTTTATTTTAGGAGACGGTGAGGTGTGAAAGATGTGAGAGACAGAGCGCCACAGATCTGCTGGTCACGAGGAAGCGGCTCTGGGTCATGTGCAGGACGAGCCGCTCACAGATGAATGAAGCTCTATTCATCTCTCTCTGATGAACTCTAGTGAATGTGTGAGCGCTGAGCGTTTGCTGCGGGCTGTGATGTGTTTACTGTAGCGTCTCTAGCCCACACGTATAAATGAGATTATTTGAGCGCTGTAGAAACGGCCCTGGGGCCCGCTGGACCCTGAGACCTTCTGAGAGAGAGACCTTCCGTCACACTGAGATATTGTTCAATCTGTCTCTTTCTGGTTTCTTTGGCCTTGATGTGTGTTATTGGTTGAGCAATATGGGCTCTTTAATAGCGAGCAGAGTTGTATAATACACACACATCTACATATACAGAAAAATACAGTGTTCTTTTGCAATTTCAGTAACATCAGTTTACTATATATAGATATAGATATAGATAGATAGATAGATATTGTTTTTTGTGCAAAATTAAATATTTAGCTATTAGTATTAATAGTATAAAATATCAGTGTATATACACACAAACACAAACACGCACGTAAATATGTGTGTCTGTGTAACAATTGTCATTTTTTTCCCTCAAAAGTGATTAAATATGTAATTTTTTAATTAATTTAACAGTTTCAATGATTGTCTCTTATTTATCTGTTTTTCTGTCTTCTATTTTTTTTTATTAATTATGTGATTTCCAGTTTTATTTTAGTATTATTAAGATACAATTATAGTTTTTATTAACTTTTCAATCAATTTTACTTAATTTATCTTAAATTTTTGTCATGTGTTTTTGTCATTGTTTTTTACATACACATATACATGATTTTTATTTTAATATTTGTAATTTTTTTGATAATTACATTTATTTAGAGAGTTAAAATAAATTAAAATGAGAAATGTTGCCTTGGCAACTGTCTGAAATAATTTTATTTCAGTTTATGTTAATTTCTTTTCAAGTAATGAAATTATTTCTGGTTTAGTTAACTAATAGTAATGTAATGTGATTTCATTGATTTACTTTGGTTTTAAATTTCCATGGTGTTTGTTTGCATGTTTGTTGTGTTGATTTATTAAGGTGGGTTGAATATGTTCACGTGTTTGTTGTGTTGATTTATTGTGGTTGCTGTAATATCCTCATGCTGTTTGTTGTGCAGGTTCAGCTCCGCCAGCACTATGACCGATGGAGATTACGACTACCTGATCAAACTCCTGGCTCTCGGGGACTCCGGAGTGGGCAAGACCACCTTCCTCTACCGCTACACCGACAACAAGTTCAACCCCAAATTCATCACCACCGTGGGCATCGATTTCAGGGAAAAGAGAGTGGTTAGTGTCCGCGCCGTCATTTTTCTGTTTCTGTTTGAGTTACGAGCTTTGATGTTTCCCGTGAGTTTGGCCCTCCATCCTCATGAAATTGGCTCGTGTGTGAGCGTGTGTGAGTGTGTGTGTGTGCGAGCATGTGTGTGTGTGTGTGAGCGTGTGTGTGAGTGTAATAAAGTTTATTGATGTGGATCATAAAGTGTGAAGAGCCACACACAATGGACTTCACACACTCCAGCGGTATTAAAAGAGCAAATCTCTGAGATGCGGCGAGCAGATCTGAGCTTATTAAATATGTAATTTTTTTATTAATTTAACAGTTTCAATGATTGTCTCTTATTTATCTGTTTTTCTGTCTTCTATTTTTTTTAATTAATTATGTGATTTCCAGTTTTATTTTAGTATTATTAAGATACAATTATAGTTTTTATTAACTTTTCAATCAATTTTACTTAATTTATCTTAAATTTTTGTCATGTGTTTTTGTCATTGTTTTTTACATACACATATACATGATTTTTATTTTAATATTTGTAATTTTTTTGATAATTACATTTATTTAGAGAGTTAAAATAAATTAAAATGAGAAATGTTGCCTTGGCAACTGTCTGAAATAATTTTATTTCAGTTTATGTTAATTTCTTTTCAAGTAATGAAATTATTTCTGGTTTAGTTAACTAATAGTTATGTACTGTGATTTCATTGATTTACTTTGGTTTTAAATTTCCATGGTGTTTGTTTGCATGTTTGTTGTGTTGATTTATTAAGGTGGGTTGAATATGTTCACGTGTTTGTTGTGTTGATTTATTGTGGTTGCTGTAATATCCTCATGCTGTTTGTTGTGCAGGTTCAGCTCCGCCAGCACTATGACCGATGGAGATTACGACTACCTGATAATTAGCAAATTCAGTACAGTAAATGCTAAGGACTAAATAAATTATAATGATTAAATAACGTACTTTTCATTTATATATGCATAAATAGAAGTATTAATAGTTTAATATATGAAAGTGAATGTATGTTATAAACATGCCAACAGTTTAACTAACTTTATCTGACTGACTTAGCTAGTCTTTAGCTGTTGCTTCAGAAGACGGTCTATAATAATTAGGGGTGTAACGATTCACTTGTTTTCTCGATGCATCCCACATTATTATTGTAATTCTTATTATTATTTAAAATATTGAATTACATGATATTTTTCTACTTGCGTTAGTACAGTCCTGCTATATACCCAAAGATTCACAGTCCTAATAATAATGTATTATTTATACACTATTATAGTACTTGTTTATATTTAGAATTAGCTTTTGTTTTTAAAATATTTCTATATTTATATTTCTTTAGCTTTGGTTTGTTTTGTAATTTTAGTGTTTAACTTTTTATTTTGGTATTTCAACTTTTCAGATTTTTTATTTTTTTTGCTTTATAAATTGCAGTTTTACTTTAAGTTTGAGAAATTTTGTTTTGTGCATTTGGTATTTTTTGATTGCCACTTCTATCTTTCTTTCTTCTTTCTGTTTCAGTTTTATTTGATTTCGGTTAGGTGCCTTGTCAACATTTCTAATTTTCATTCTAGTTTTTTTAAGTGTTTCATCTAATATTTATATTTTATTTCAATTAACAAATGACTTGTAATAGTTTTAGTTTTATGAATAACAGTGCTGTTTAGCGGCTCTTGCTGCGTCGCGTTATGAATTGCAGTTTGACACGTTTTAGAACGCAACAATTTCACTTTGACAGAGTTTGGAGGGTTTCAGTTTTTGTATTAAATGAATGTTCATGACTCACAGTAACACAAGACCACCGGCTCTTCACGTGTGTGTGTGTGTGTGTGTGTGTGTGTGTGTGTGTGAGAGAGAGTGTGTGTG